GGGTTCACGATGGCAGCTGACAAACAGCACATTCGATGGCATTGAAATTTACACGATTTCTGACGGAGAAGAATGCTCCTAAAGCACGTAGGGAATTAATTTGCAGTGTTCTTGGTGCTGCCGACGTTGCGTCTTGTCAAACGTGTTATTTCTTCGTACCTACGTCTTAGGTGTGGTGGTTTCAATACCAGTGACCAGTTGCGCCCTCCTGGACAGCGGCCTCGCATCTTCGAAATTGCGGAACTGCGCGCTCTACTGGATGAAGACACAACGCAAACGCAACAAGAGCTTGCAGCTCAGTTAGGAGTCACCCAAACAGCTATTTGTTTCAAGCGCTTGCACCAAATGTGTTGACCGAACACAACCTCCCAGGTCGACGTATGAAGACATGCCTTTCACCGCTTGCCAGCTGGCAACACATAGTGAATGGGCTTCCTGTGAAAAATTGTGACGTGTGCTAAAAAAATATTTTTTGCGAGAATCCCAAACGGAAATCATCGTGTTTAAATTACGCGCAACCCAGTACATCGACGCCGAAACATGACATCCAACTGAAGAAGGTGCTCCTGTGTATCTGGTGGGACATGAAGGCCGTAAGTTATCACGAACTCCCGGAAACGACTGTATTCGTACGATGTCTGAGAGATGGCCCGATGTCATGGAAATCGGTGAACAATAGTTCCATGATTAACTTCGGCGTCGTCTTCTTTTTTTTCTAAATTTTAAATATACTTTCTGCAAATTCCGTAGAAATTAAATCAAACTCCTCAAATTAGTTGGTCGTGGACGTGAACAGCAGGTAGTTATTCGCGGTGGTGTGTGCGTGTGCATGTCAAAATAAAGGGTCACTAGGGGTGTGGTGGGTGTGGCAAGTTCTCCCACACACGGCATGATCACCACACCTGGCCCCATTCGACTGCCATTTGTTCCGGTCAATGCAACCGCACGACTGCATTCGTGTGGTATCTGAGATATGACCCGAGGTCATGGAAATCGGTGAACAATATTTTCACGATTAACTTCGTCGTTGTCATCTTTTTTCTACATTCTAAATATGCTTTCTGCAAGCTTCGTAGAAATTAAATCAAACGCCTAAAGTTAGTTGGTCGTGGACGTGAACAGCAGGGGGCCAGTCACGATGGTCGCGGTGGTGTGTGCGTGTGCATGTCAAAATAAAGGGTCACCAGGGGTGTGGTGGGTGTGCCCACAGCTGCGGGGTCAGGTGATTATCCAGAGCCAACATGATTAGGCCCTGAGTCCGCTCGTGCTTAGTCGGTGTTGGACGTGTTTAATCAGCCTAATTCACCACAATATTCTGCGGGTTTCTGTCTGTGCCGGGCAGTCGTTTAGCTTGCAACGCAGTGGTCGCAATTTCTAGAGGGCGTTAATTTGACCGTCACTCTCTCATTCAAAAAATTCATTATTTTCAGATACAAAGCGGTCTAAGTTGGTACTTACTTCAGCACACCACCTCCTAACAGACATGGTTTAGCGTGCTTTACAATGGTAATGACCAAATAATCGTTGAAATCTAGGGACTAATGAGTCGGAAATTTCTTATTTTGGCCAAACAGCGGCCAAATAGCCCGTTGTTTCCAGAGCCCGGGAGTTTTCTGGTAGCAGCCAATCACAACGGTATTCTGAAGGTCAAGTCAAGGACAATTACTACAATAAAATAAATGCAAACGTTGGGTGAAGTACCACGGAAGAGTACAGGCCCGATTGCAGGACGGGCGAGATGTTTTCTTATGAACAGAGAGGATTGGTTGAATGAAGGGACCAATGGCAGGATAGGCGGAGGGCATATGTGCCAATCATCTAGTCGTAAAAGCCTCATATTCAGTCCATTTTTCAAGGTCATCAGATTCCATCACTACGAAAATTTGCGTTTCGAAAATTTTCAAATCTGCGTCAAATTTATGCACACATTTGGCACCCGTGAAAGACAGATAATTACCGCATTCTCTTGACCAATGAAGTCGAACTAACCACGAAACAATTTGGAACTTCGAAGCGCCTAGTTTGGAAATGAATAACACCGAATCAGAGTTGGCGTCTGCACAAGACTTCTACTGCGTCCTCGTAAATTCCAGCTAATTCGACGTGTACATGGATCACAATATCATGCTAAATTTATCGTTAAGGTCAGTTAATAAGTAATTTAGAAACCAGGGCCATCACGAAATCACGTTACAACGGTCAGCCGTATCGATTTCTCGGCGTAAATCTTTGGAGTGTCTTTAAATGTACCCAAAAAACTGAATTAACGAATCAAACGCGTGCACATGACAAGAGTTCATTTCACACCACTAAATCATTCGCTCGCTTGCTGCACCCAAATTTATGCATAGGCGATGAGTTTCCGAGGTGCCCGAATGTTACAAAAAGCTAACCTTTCAGAAACTTGTTTAATTTAAGGAATTCCTCTGTGAAAATTCACAGTTTCAGTCTCTAGAGAATGATTACATTTGACTGTAAAAAAACAGTGAAACCATAAAGCAATTTGGTTCATCAATTACTGCATAATTGCTTGTTTCGAGGTCTTAGGCACACATCAAAATAACTTCTGCGAGTTTTCGTTGGTCGATGAGATTTGTTTTCGA